CCTCCGGCAGTGATATTGGAATTAATAAATGATTATGTCGACCTTAAAGATTAAATTGTATACATACCATATTTATCAGGGTCTAAGGAGATTAGAACCAACGGTGTAATCCTTTGAAACAATATTTCTATTACTTTCGAGAAGTATTTATAAATTTATATAGACCTTCATAAACGACAAGCCGCTTCACTGTGCCGACAGTGTTTTTACTAGAAATGAGCCACAATGAGCGCGTAAATTGCACTCACTACAACAACAATACGGCCCTTTTCTATGATACTATGTATGTATGTAAGGCACTTATATTCATATATAAGACCCAAAGCAAAGCTATCGATGCTCTAATGCAACGCTTTTCATTTTCAGATAATTTATGTGGTGTAAATGTGCTTTACCGCACTGCCATACTCTTAATACTGTTGCTGCAGCAAGTCGGCAAAGCAACGATGAAAATTTCGCCACAGCCCTACAATACTGTGAAAACCATAAATTTTTGGTTGTGATAAAAAATAAATTCCAAATGGTAATTTCACTGGACAGCCATGCACATGCACCTAACAGCTCACTTGCACTCACACTAACGCATACGTATGAGTAATAAGGCCGACATATGTGTGAGGCTTATTGGCATCGAGTGCAAATGTGCGTAACGAAAAATATAATTTATTACTTGTGAATATTTTTCAATTGGAAAATATGGTTAAGCAGCTCTTACTTAGTATTCCACACACTCGGTTCTGAAATAAAAATTGGTTTCAACTAAATTTTTGCATTGCAAAGCTGTGTGCGTTCTGCTGAGTGTCTGCATGTTTTCCTTGGTTTTGTGGTTCCGACACGCCTAAGTGTTTTTGTGAGCTCTTCAAGGAAAATATTTTTCCAAAATCTGTATTGCTTTTGCAGCAAGTACTGTTAATTTCCGAATATTTTCCACTGAAATTGTAAACACATTTTTATACATAATAAGGTTGCCTGAAATTTCGACCAATTCCAACTAAGTAGATTGCCACAAATTCAACGAACACAACATATCTGGTATCGTATAGTTCGAAATATTTGATTGAAATTTAATGGTTTTTATAGCGAATATAAAAATAAGGGTTAAAAACTCATAACATTTTTAAGAAAGTCAGAATTTTTTTGGCAAGAAATTCATTTCATAATCGAACGCGATTTTAAGCACTTCTAACTTTTGATACTATTTTTGTACCAATAATGTCTTCTGCTTTGAAATAGACCTCAGAATATCGTTCCTGAATGAATAAAAGTACGTAGAAGACTATTAGTGCGGAAGCTATTCGAAGCCTACAATTTTGACTCGGCTGGCCGAGATTTCCTCCTTCTAACGTTAAAATAACCCCCAATAACAGCCGTTTTTGATGAGTTTGTCTTTTTATTTAAAGAAAATTTGTTTTTTCGGATCATAACATACTTATGAATAGATTCATAAATTTGACGGCGGAATGAAATAATGGAGCCATGAAGTATGTTATTGCCAAAAAAATTGCTATGATCTCTTTAAAGATCTGTTTCTTTGAAGATCTGTCATGGTTGTGATGAATTGTAGATCAGCTATAAGCCGTCAACTTTGCCTCTGAGAGACTTGGAAACTCTGATACTATATATTTAAAGAAGTTTCTATCTTTTGGAAGTGACTTTACAATTATTTATCAATCCCAGCTTTATGTGAAGCATTGGTGGAAGAACATTATGAGCAAGCACTTAAATTTCATGTATGCAAGGAAATTCGGTAACGCCTGATTGTTGTTCGAGCAAAACGCCCAAAAGCAAAGAACCAATTACAAGTTGTTATAAGTTTCCTTAAGGTGTACGGGACGACCAACCGGAATGTAAGCACATAAACCGCATTTGTGAAGCAGAACTGCTTTAAGGCTTTCAATCTTGTTACAATAAACCAACTCGTCCTATTGGGCAATGTAGGGAGTGAACTGCTTCTCACGATATTTAAACCAGGAGGATGACACTCCCGGCAAAAGAAAATGTTCTGCCTTTGAGCCTTGATTCAAGCAACTCAGCTTTTTTAGAAGATTCAAGTCCTTCGCCATATTATTTAGCTCGCCCTGGGTTCATCTTCAAATTCAAAAACTGGCCATAGTCATCGGGATCAGGTACAGCAACAGCTTCGTTAGAACTTAGAATTTCTTCCAAGATAGTAAGGAGCTTGGGCACTGTATTTTCGGTCTCATGAGGAATAATAATAGATGATTACAGATTCGGGTATGAAATTAACTGCTTGCTTTTTGAGTTATACCCACATTACATGAACAAAGGTAGCAATCATAGCATATTGGCAAGCTTTTTTCTTGCCCTTAAACCAATTCCGAGGATCAGACCTGTGTTATTAAGCATGTCTGTTTTCCGAATATGTTTTTGATATCAATTTTCTCTATGTGATTTCCTTATATGATTCACGATTCTTCAAATTTACGATAAGATCAAAGGTTATGCCGAATTTAAATTTTTCACTCTTTCTATAATGTAAGAGCGCACACGTGAAATTTTCGTAAAAGATAGGTAACATCTTCGTGGGTAGTCGGTTTCATTCTATTTCAAATGCATTACGAGTGACTGAATTATTTTCCTATAAAGTATGACCTTTAATCCATTTCGTTAATAAAGGACACAACTACTGACTCCGGTGGTCTATCGAGGTGGCCTCGGAATCACAACTTCTTAACCTACAATTTTTTATGTAAAGTTATTTCAATTATGAATGTTTACGGAATTTCGCCAAAGGCAATTCAATTTAATATACATTAATAAATAATTTCGAAAAAACTTTTCAGAGAAAAATCATTATGGGATGGTTCACGTCCTTTAACTATGCACTCAATGCTACCGAAATGTGAATACAGAGCGAATGGCTGAATGACAAGGCCGAGCTGGTGTAAATACTTTGCGAAATTCATTTCGTTTCCGTTTGCTCCTGAACTTTGCGAAACATTATGTGAGTGTGCGCCATTGGCAATGCTTTCCCGTGCTTGTATGTTTACTCAGGCTTTATGGGTCGGCTTAAATTAATGGATTTTTAATTGCTATCACTTGTTCATTTTCAGTGGACAGAGTCCCCGTCTTCGCTTTCATCTCATATACTTAATGAGCTTACGCGAACAACTTAATCAGCTTCCTATGGTCACCGAATGAGAAATTTTCTCTTAATGGTCCCTCCTTTTTCACTCTCAACGAAGTTAAAATAACTCGTAATCGTCGTATTCTTTAAAAAGTAACGCCGCCGAATTATTTTACTTGTGGGATTCGTTATTATGTGAGATAAATGGATATTTGAAAGTTTTTGATATATGTATGTATAGGTTAAGTCTGCTGACTGCGGTAATATAAGTTATTGGGATCACGGAATCAATAAGTAAACATCTTTCAAAGTACCGCTACATTCTATAAACGTAACAAGTAAGGAAGAGCTAAGTCCGGATGTAACAGAACATTTTATACTCTCGTAACGTCAAACGGTATACTCGTATGAGATTTCTTCATATATTATATTTTGCTTGATTTGCATAGTGGAAACTGAAAGATTCAGATGGAATTTAAAATGGTGTTATATGGGAAGTAGGCGTAGTTGTAATCCGATTTCGCTCACTCTTGCACTATAAAATAGAAATCGAAGAAGAAAAAAACGTACCGAATTTGGTTGAAATCAATTAAGCAGATCCCAAGATATGGGTTTTCACCTAAAAGTGGGCGGTGCCACGCCCACTGTCCAATTTTGAACGCGCTTCCTAAAAAGCAATCTCATACCATCCCAGAGATAAAATTTAATGTCTCTGGCGTGTTTACTGCTTGATTTATTGCGCTTATAGTAGTTTTTAACAGTACCGCTATATTCACACTGTCGGTAAAAGTGCTAAAAAAAATTTTACTCAGTGAATTTTGTTATCTTTAGCAGTTTAGAAGATATGCATATTACGGAGCGGGACCACGCCCATTTAAAAAAAAAAAACAATGTTAACTGCAGATGTCCCGCCCTAATGTGATCCTGTATACCAAATAACAGTCATGTATCTTATTGTGGAGCTTAGTTATGGCAATTTATTCGTTTTTTTATTTAATGGCGTTTTGTGGGCGTGGTAGTGGTCCAGTTACGCCCATCTGCAATACCAACCGTATTACGGTACCAAGAAACCGTAACCAAGTTTCAAAAAGATATCTCAATTTTTACTTAAGTTACAGCTTGCACAGACGGACGGACAGACAGTCACACGGATTTTAACTCGTCTCTTCATCCTGATCATTTATATAATATATATATAGCCCTATATCTAATTCGATTTGTTTTAGGTGATACAAACAACCGTTAAGTGAACAAAACTATTATACTTTGTAGCAACATGTGGCGAGAGTACTGTTCTTATACCATATAGAGACTACTGTTATTATAGATAGAATATAAATAAATTACAATCTAACATACTCACACCTAAAGAATTTAATGACGAATCTTGGTTTCAATTTTAGGAAAAGTTTTAGCTTTCTACGAAGGATGGAGAACTGAAACAGCTTTCAGGAAAAAAGAAGTATAGAAAACTGCATATGTTATAGCCGGTTCATACTCGCAACATATCAGAATATCGCTGAAAGTATTTAAGCAGAGAAAGAGGGAGCGATAGAAAAGTAGAGGGAAGCATAGGTATATAACCGCTGTCAAGGGCAGTCAAGATAACAGCTTTTACTAAAAATATTTTGCCAGACAAAGGGGACAATGAAAGAGAAAAATAGGTCGGTATATAGGAAAAAGGCACCCGCATTGATATTCCTTCAAGGTCGGTGATCGGTCAAGGAGGATGAAGAAAGAGAGTTAAAGACATAAAAAGCGAGAAAGATCAAGAGTCATGGAGATAAAGAAGGAGAGAGAGCAGGTCAGAGTAAGAGCAAGATAGAGTAAGAAAGAACAATACACTTCTTTCGATTGTGTAAACCATAGAAAAATGTTCTATAAAGTGAGTTGAAGCAATAATACGATGTTATATTTTTGGAATATATTTTACAAGCCTTTATTGATATAATAAACCTATTTAAATAGGACGTCATATTTGATTTGTCATCTATTATACTTTCCTAGAATTAGAGATTTTAATTTAAAAATTGATTGCGTCTAACTTTTGTTCTATTTATACTGTCCAATTCTTACGGTAGCATTTAGTTAAAAGATTTTGAAAATATTGAGAAATTTCTGAGATTTAACTTTGTTATAAATATTTATAGAAATTACACTTACACGAAAATCGAAAGAAATTGTAAAATTAAGAAAGATATCTTAGCACACTTGTTATATAGTATTATGGGGCCATTTAAATTCGTCTCTTTGCCCTTCACACACAACTCAATATTACAAACTGCATTTATACATTTTGTTCAACTTGATTAAATCACTTTTACTTAAGGCCTTGCGTTGGCCCATTAAACCCTCCGGTATTTCTTGCAACGGCACTATAGTTTTTTCACCATTTGCCGAAAAAGCAAGCGGCGAATAATGCATAATACTGCCATAGTCGTATTTTTCACCAAAGTCTTTAACAAAGTCCTTAGTGTATTTTGTAAAGTCGTGCACAAAGTTTGGCATAACATTCTCATAGGCTATCCGAATATAATCGTCCCGATCGTAATTGCTCTGCATGTGATAGAAACCGAGTATGTGCAACAATTCATGAATTATTTTACCGGGTCGATAACAGCCCGTATTTATGGGATAATTCTGTAAATTTAATGTAGAAATGTCGTCCATAAAACCAATAGTTGAATAACAGCCGCCAGGATTTTCCGTTATATTGACAAAGAACGGCTGGTCGCTCGCTTCTTTAAAACGTACGCACGACATTTCTTCAATAATCTTCATCGCTTTTCTTATGAAAGCCTTTCGTTCATCATCTGAATACGAACACTGTTCATTATGGAGACTAAAAAAATTAATAGACTTAATGTGATTTACCAAATCCTTCGCAAAATTTATAGTAGACGATACCGTCTGGCCAATAATGAGTTGCATCGCTCATACCATTGCGCCTTGACGGTCTCAAGATAATATCGCCTTCAAAGAAGCCGGGAGTCAGCTCGGGATCTTCTTCCCACTGTGAACCTGTTGGTAGAGCTCGAATTGTACTAATCACAGCAAACAGCGCCAGACTCAGATATGTCTTCATTTCACTTGATTATTATTTTAAAATTTCCAAAATATGTTATGTTATCTGTACTCTCGTGAAGCTCACTAGCCAAAAAATATATATGTGAAAGTCCGCATTTGCAGTGCTTTTTATACAAAAGAAACTTAGTCACTAATTTACTATTGATAGTGGCTAAGTCCAATCTTAGTAAACTATAGATTTGGATATACGAGTATGTATTATCAGTTTTTAAAACCAATAACAGTAACATTTTTTTTTATCGAACTGAAAAACTTATGCTCAATAAACATATTTTTTGACACAGTAATGGATCATCGACTAAAAACTCTTTTCTCCTCATACTCGTACATTTTTTAGAAAATTTGACTTTGGAGGTTCTATATGCGAAAAATCAACACACATCTGTTTTCAGAGCTCCGTTTCGAATTGCATGTGCCAACAAAAGGTATTTATGATTTATTATTTTTCACACCGAAAATCATATTTTTAAATTCATTATTTCAATTATGAAAACAAATCAAAACGAAACAAGTAAGTAAGGGTTAAGTTTGGGTGTAACCGAACATTTCATACTCTTGCAACTTGCAAGGAGCAAAGTCGGGGAAATATCTTCAGATGTTGTCAAAACTTTATATTAAGAAATGTAGGGGAAAGGTTCAACTTCATTATTCGACGAAATCATAATTTAGTATTGTATTAACTTATTTTGAAGGTCATACATAGACTCACTTAATTTGATTACTATATTTTACCTCCCATCAGCGAAAATTATACTAAAATCATTGAGGGCATACAAATGGAAGGGCTGATTGCATTAATTTTTGACATTGTTCAGGTATACTTGAGAACTTATTTTCAAGCAATTTATAAATATATAAATATAAACATATATATATGGAGTAAAATCAGCCCGGCGTTTCAAAATCGTGAATATCAGTTATATGGCGGCTAAGCCAAGTTTCCGATTTTACCTATTTTAGGCACACAAAAAACACTCCACTGGAAGTTCTAAAGTGTTTCTATTAAGTATATGGCGGCTAAGGGAAGCATTGGACCGATTCAAATAATTTTTTAGCACAATATTATATCAAGAAACATTTTCTTCGAAATTCAATTACATATATACCTCACAGATTGACCGATATTTTCGGCCAAAAGTCAGCCATACGCTCTGGGGTCCCTATATTTGGCGTCTCGGTTCTTCAAAAGCTACCGTCCGTTTTTGACAATTTTTGAACGTAAGAAGAAAGTAAGATCCATTTGTGCAAAGTTGTATCCATGTACATTAATTGGTTCTTGATTTGTATACTGGAAAGCGAAAGATTCCTTTAGAATTGTGCTATATGGAAAGTAGGCGTGGTTGTTTCGCAACGTAACATAGGATTTTTAGAGTAATATTATGTACTGAATTCAGTTCAAATCAGTAAAGTAGCTCCCGATATATAGATTTTCCCCTAAATGTGGGCGGTGCTACGCCCTTCGTGCAAATTTGGCGCCGGTTCCAATAAACCCTCTTGTACCATCTCAGGTGTCAATTCTATGTATTTAGTTATTGATTTATCGTGCTTTTAGTAATTTGTAACAAAACCGTTACATGGGGAAAAGCCGGGGTTTTTCAATATTTCAACACTGTCGTTAAGCATTCTTAAAGGTTTTGTACCAAGCGAATTTGGGTGATATCGCTTGAATGGTTGTGAGATAAGTACCTTAAACTTATTAGAAGGTGGGGCTACGCCCACTTTAAAACAGTTTTTAGCCCACAGGTGCATTTTACTTCTGCACATTTTTATGTTAATTTAGTGCTTAGTTAGGGTATTTTATAAGTTTTCTGGGAGTGTCAGTGTTCCGATTACGCCTATCTACGAACACGTCCTTACTTTTTCGCCAAGGAACACGTGTACCATATGGTATAAAGTCTACTGGAAGTTCTAAAATCTTTATATTAGGTATATGAGGGCTAGGGAAGTATTGACCCGCTCCAACCCAATTTTGACTCATATTAATATCAAAAAAAACATTATTCCCGAATTTTATTAATATATCTCAGGGATTTACCGATATTTTCGGCAACAAGTCAGCATTGTGGGTCTACATATTTGGTATGTGGGTACTTGAACAGTTTTGGTCCGATTTTGAAAAGTTTTAAACGCGAGATGGCATACCTTAAATTTTTCATTATTCGTGCAAAGTTTTATCCCGATATATCCATTGGTGCTTGATTTGTATGCTGAAAGGTGATATGAAATTTAAAAATTGCTTTATATGGGAAGTAGGCATGGTAATAGCCCGATTTCGCCCAATTGCGCACTGCAAGTATTGTAGTTTTATATATGAGTAGTAGTTTTAGACGTGAGTGTTATATGTGGAATAGGCGGGGTTATACTTTCGGTTTCATCTATTTTCACAGTCTCGTAAGAGTGTTAAAAGGATTTTTCCTATGCAAATATGAGTTTTAAAGCATAAATGGTTCAGAAGATATACATTAGACATATTAGGGGGCGGGACCACGTCCACTTCTCAGAATTTTAAAACCACATTTCCCTATTTCTAATACGACTAGTTGTACCAAATAGCAGGTATGTATCTCAATTTTCGGCTTAGTTATGGCAATTTATGGGTTTTTGAATATTTGCATTTACGTATTTACAAGTATATAATCTTATATATATCTCTATTTGTTTAGTTGACCCAAACAACAATTAGGTGGTTACAAGAGTACTAAAATGTCGCTTATTGAAGAATATAAATCATATTAACTTATATTATAGGTAATAGACTTACTTGGTTACGTTACTATATTCTGCTTCGTGTCAGCGATATTTATAATATTTGTATTCGATTTCTACCATTCTTACACCTGAGATATCATACCATGAAGACACTATTAGTGCAAAGTTTTATTCTGATAGCTTCATTGGTGTTCGATTTGAGATAAAAGATTGCCACGCCTATTTCACAGCTTTTACACTGATTCTTATGAAGCATTATATTATGAAGGCTTTAAATGTAATGCTACTGGCGTTATTATATACAATACTTAGTGCTTTTTAAAGATTTAATCGTAACCTTATATGGGGTGTGGGCGGGGTTATCATCCGATTCCATCAGTTTTAAGTGTGAAAACAAGGGTTCGAAGGAGTTGTTTTCATCAAGTTTAGTTGTTAAAGCTTTTGTGGTTTGTAAGATGTGTGTACCATACATCAAACGTATTTAGGGATGGGTTCCCTCCCACATTTTGAAAAGGTTTTAAACTGTAGATGCAGCTCTATAGTTGGATATTCTACGTTTTCTATACCAAATTGCAGTTTTGCAACTTAATTTGAATTTACCAAATCGAATATATTTATGTATTTATATAAGTATTTATCTATCTCTATTATTATAAGATGATGCAAGCAAAATTATTGAACTGAAATGCAAATACTTGGACCAATGGAAATTTCAGTCAATTCAGGAAACATAGAACCGATAGAGAAAGATGAAATGGCGGCTGTATGAGTTTCGTGACGACAAGATAGTTCATCAGCTCTTTGGGCAATGGCACTTCGCTCTTGGATGCAACAATGAAAGTGCTTAATGCAATATGGTAGAGCCTCTGAAAGAGGGAGACTTTCCTCAGGTTGGAATGATGAAGAAATTAGTTTGCTTAATGTTTAAAAATTAAGTCAATGAATGAAGAGAAGAAACCATCACCAAAAGGAATGCAAATATACGAGAAGGGATTTTTGTTACCAAATCACATTATGCCAATTCAAAAAACCTTACATGATTGTATTAGAATACTTTGTAGATAGATTAAAGACTCCTTGATATATGCGATTAAATCAATCTGGGCGACGGAAATTATTATATTAGATATATATACGATCTTACGGCGACTATTAGCCGGTTTCATAATATTTTGGTATCAAACTACTCTGCATTCATTGTACCACGTTTTGTTAATCTTATTATGATAATTTCTCCTGTTTTCAATGCAATGTTGCTAATGATCCCGAGTATTATTTAGTATATGTTAGAGTTTATATTATGTCGATATCATATCGATCTTAATGTAAGATCAAATAGGATGCGCATGATTTCTTCATTAGCCAAGATAGTAAAAACATTTACACTTTGCAATATAGAAGGATAAGAACTTTGTTCGTGGCTTAATTTAGTTTTGTACCAGAGAGGTGTATCATAATATTCGTAAAAAGTTGATGATTTGGTTAAAAATCTGTTCTAAACTGCACCGTTTAAAGGAACGTATGTCAACTGATTCTTACATTCTTACTGGGGTTTCCAAAATTGCATCCACATTATATGCAGATCGTCGAAAAAATATTAAGCTTTCCTAGATTCGTAATATCCTTGCAAACTTGTTTTATTTTGTTTAATTTTAATCATAAAGCACCGACAATTTATGATTTCCATTTACGTCTAGCTTCGTCGGAGCTTTCACATATTAGAGCACTACATTTCCTTGATTTTGTGAATTGATAAAATTTACAAAAAAAATTTACGAGGACAATTGGACTTTCCAGCAAGACAATGCTCCAATCGACAATGCAACTCTTTCTACAAGGTTTTTCGCATCTAAAAAATTCCGCTTTTGGAGTGGCTAGCAGTAAAGCCGAATTTAAGCCTAATCGAGGATGTGTGGGCAATATGATCACTAGAGCTGTTGAAAATTGACGATAGTTTAATACAGCGAATGAATTAAAAATATAATACAGCGCTAATGCAATTCAATCATACATAAATATGTAACTATTTTAAATAAATCACTAACGGAATCTGCGTTTATTTATACTATGTGAAATAGCTATGAAAATAAACAATTAAACAAAAACCAAAATTTTGATAACATCCTGTATATTAAAAATTATATGGCTTGAATTCGTTCACATACAATTTCTTTACTAAGGTAATTGACAGTACCCAGTTTCTGGCATATTTGCAGAGTTCTAACTTTTAAACAAACAATTTAAATGAATTTCTGGGTAAACGTTATTGACATCGAATAAAAAAAATTAAAAAACCATTGAAATTTCTATTATATATAAAACCACAGTGTTTTAAAGTCACTCATGTGTGTAATTTTTCTTTTTCTTACTGCAGCCATACATTTTATTCAACTTTTTTTTGTCATATTCGCTAAAACCCTTGCGCTGACCCAATAGACCCTTCGGTAATTTCGTCAATGGCTCTAAAGTCTTTTTACCATTTATCGAAAAAGCATGAGGCGAATAATGCATTATACTACCATAATCGTATTTTTGACCAAAATTACTGGATAACCTTTTGGGGTATTTTCTAAAATTATGCTCATGGCCCTTTTTAATATTTTTCCGAACAACTCGAACATATTTATTACGATTATAAGCATTCTGCATGTGATAGAAACCGAGAGAGTGTAACAATTCATGCACTATAGTGCCCGGGCGGTAGCAGCCTTCACCGATTGGGTACGATTTTAGATTAAATGATTGAATCTTGTTCCAAAAACCGACAGTTGCATAACAACCGCGATTCATGGCCGTAATGTTGAGAAAATATGGCTGGTAATCGTCGGCCTCAATAAACCGGACGCACGAAACATCTTCTATGGTTTTCATGGCACCTTTAATAAATGATGTTTGTACTTGATCTGCATAAAACAGTAAAATAATTAAAATATGGAGTGCAAAAAATTAAATAAATGAAAGGAGGACGAGTTATTTACCGAAAGATCCTTCGCTAAACTTATAATAGACTTTACCATGGGGCCAATGGTGATCTTCACTGCGCATACAACTACGCTCTGAGAGTTGTAATACTATATCACCTTCGAATAAGCCCGCTATTTCTTCGGGATCTTCTTCCGCCGATGAGTTTTCTGGTAAAGCTCGACTTGTACTAATCATGAATAGCAACACCAAATTCAGAAATGTCTTCATTGCCGCTATTTAAAATTTTCGAACAAGTTTTATCCGTATAGTAATGTTCCCCAGTACTTGACTTAAACTACTGCAGTGGGTGACCACTTTTAGATTGCTTTTTATACAAATTGAGGGTATCTAATTAGGTAAGTTAAGTGTTAAAAGCAACTAAATATATTTTCCATAAACTATAGGTTTCAACATCATCAATCAGATATACAAAGGCGAACACCTTTCTTATATACTATATATTTATCACCTATTTTGAAATCGATGATATTAGTTTAACTTCTGTTTCAGAATGAACTTGAGATCAGCAACAGTTGTTTTGATTGGCTTAGGTTTTTGTTTACATGTGTATTCTAAAGGTATTTACGATTATTGAAGAATTTCTTAATTATTTTAATTATTTATATGGACAAGTGTTAATATTTCTAGCATATATTTATTCTCTGACCCTCATATGTTGAATAAAAGCATGAAAGTAAAAGATCATTATACTGAGGCAACTTCTTGTCAGTACAGGTTCTGTAGGCCCGACTGCCCTGAGGGCGCTATCGAGTTCTCTATTCTGGTTGTTCTTGGGGAATAGTTCATGTTATTCACTTAAGTTGCAGCAAGAGTTGTCCAGGTCTCGCCTTACTTCTTCTTGTTGATTTTTTTGAATCAGAAGAGTAGGATTTGTGGCAATGACTATAGCACAAATCAAAGAAATTCTTCATTTCTTCCATTTTTCATACAATTACAACTTTTAACGTAGTTTAAGATATAATTATATATATTATACTATTCAATAAAAATTCATTATTTTATTTACGAAGCGAAACGTTCGGTATAAAATGTCGTACTACAAATCCCACCTTTGTGTGATTCTCTAAAACGGGAAGTTTTTGAAAGTCACATTGATTCTCATTGAGTCATTCCAAGAATAGTCAGAAGTCTTTATTTGTTTCATAAAATACATGTCATTTGACTTTTAGATTAACTGAAACAAACGGATAAGTTCATTTAAAGCTTGCAATAATACCCATTTTATGTAATTTATAAGAATCAAAACCTGGTGAAATATCTCGAGATTGTTCAAAATTTCGCACATGAATCAAGATTCCATATTTTGTGAACGGATCATAAGTGAAGCAATTTCTCTAATATTAGAAAATATACCATAAGGTGAGCGAAAATCAAAATTTTTATTATATTTTGGACTAAGACATCTAGTCAGATATTTAAATGATAATAATATCCAAGAATCCACATTGTGAACAAAAGTTAAGACATTCAAGATTTTTTTGAAATACGAGGTGCGTTCAAAGGAAAAGGTCAATTTGAAGGTTTTTTTTAAAGTGCTAATTTATTCATCGATAGCTATTTTGTACCTTTCAAAGTGATCCCCCTCGGATATAATACACTTATACCAACATTTTTTCCACTCCTCGAAGCACTTCTGAAATGCGCTTTTCGGTATGGCCATCAGTTCTTTCTTCGATTCTGACTTCATCTCATGAATTGTGGCAAAACGCTTTCCTTTCATTGCTTTCTTCAGTTTTGGGAATAAGAAAACGTCGCGGTCACCAGTTATGACCCGTTTGAACAAACCCGGATCGTTGTTGACGTCATTCAACAACTCCTGATACTAATGCGACATTGCTTTGGCTCGAAATTTAGCAAATTTGCGGTCACACGAGCGACAACTTGAGTCGAACAATATTCCGCAACCTTTCGCTATTGCAACCAAAGATAATATTTCAAGATGTAAAGGAATGCCGAATTGCTTGGCAGAGAACTGTTTGGAACAGAAGTACACAAAGCGTGCCACCTGAGCGGCACGGTCCCTTCCTCTTTCCTCGCCTCCTCGCCTCCTCGCCTATAAAAATCGGGTTTGATGAACAAACTCATACTCTTAATGAGGAATGGTCAAAGTCTTATTCTTCAGTTAGTGACCGACGCAAAACCGTAAACGGAATCAGCTGATACGCGCTATCTTATGAGAGCGCAATGTTAATGAACACTGTACCGTAGGATATCCGCGAAAATTGATTTTTTTCCGTAGAAACGAGTCAGCTGATTGCTGTCTTACAATTATTTATAAATAGGTAGACTACCTATTTTTATACTCCTGCAACATGTTGCTATAGCGTATAATAGTTTTTTTCACCTAACGGTTGTATGTATCGCCTAAAACTAATCGAGGTAGATATATGTTTATGTATGTATAAATATTCAGGATGACGAGACGAGTTAAAATCGGGTGACTGTCTGTCCGTCAATCTGACTGTGCAAGCTATAACTTGAGTAAAAATTAAGATATGATAATGAAACTTGGTAAACGTGTCCCTTGAATTCAACTACTGCCACGCCCACAAAACACCATCGACAACTTATAAGACGCCCTAACTGTGCACTAAATTAAGATATAGAACTGTAATTTGGCACAAGGAATCGTAGTAGCAAGAAGTAACTGTGAGCTGAAATTTTGATTTTGGAAAAACAAGCATATACCCGCCCCATAAAATCTACATATGGACGATTGGCATGGCACCGCCCTGTTTTTGCTGAAAACACATATCTCGGTACCTGTTGGACTGGTTTCAACCAAATTCGGTGTATAAAATTTTTCTGATATTCCTATGTAATAGACTAATAAATAGTACTTCCTATGTACATTTTAAATTCTATCTGATTCTTTCACATTCCAGTATACGATGACGGGATAAGACTTTGCAGGTCTGAGTGAATCCCAATTTGGAATTTTTGTCAGCATAGCAGAACCTACACAAGAGATGTCTACAAATTAAAGTCTTGAAACAATTTTTCACCATTTGTATGCTTATTTGTTAGAAATTAATGATTTCTCACAGAAACGAAATAATCGTTTAGTCTGTAATAGAATAATGAGGAAGCTACCGAACACCTCAGTGGTAAGCGTCGTTCTGTCTATAATAAAATTGACTTTAACAACATTCTAAATAGTTGATGTAATTTCCTGCAATTTTCTTCTTTATCGTGCTCAAAAACACCTCGCCTCTCTGGCATGGAATGAACTTCACAATTCAATTGGAATCTGCTTAGACATAACAAATTAAGAGGTTTAAAAATATTTAGATGCACACGGTTTCAAATTTATTGTAAATAGTTATAATTAGTATGAATTTATTAACCAAAAAAGTAATAGAGGTATATAAATATCGCTTATATGCCATAATAAAGCTTGGTACCGATAACATATAGACACTTTTGTAATTATAATTTAAATCACCCAACACCCAAAGTAACTTAGTTTTTAATAGTCCCCCACTTGCGTATTAATCTTTCTCAGCACAGTCATACATTTTATTCAACTTACTTATATCACCTTCACTTAAGCACACGCGCTGACCCATTAAACCCTCCGGTACTTCCTGCAATGGCTTTATAGTCTTTTCACCATTTGATGAGAAAGCAAACGGCGAATAATGCAAAATACTACCGTAATCATATTCTTCTTCAAAATCTTCAATCATGTCTTTCTCATATTTATTGAAATTATGCAGACGTTCCGGATCAATATTTTCGGAAACTATGTGAACATAATCGTCCCGATTATAAGTGCTCTGCATGTGATAGAAACCGAGTGTATGTAACATTTCGTGAATTATGGTGCCGATACGGAAGCAACCCTTATTTATGGGATACGGTTCCAGATTATATTGTTGAATGCCGTCAGTAAAGCCAACACTCGAGTAACACCCACCAGGATTGCCTGTTATGTTGATGAAATATGTCTGATCATCGTCGGCCTTTAGGAAACGAATGCATGACACATCTTCTATGGTTTTCATGGCACCTCTAATAAGAGTTTCTTGTACTAGATCTGCATAAAATAATATGTTGAAATATTTAGTAACAAAAACAAAAAAACAAAACACCAATTAAAATAAAGAAACATGAGTCGATTTACCGAAAAATCCTTCCCAAAATTTATAATACACAATACCGTTGGGCCAATGGAGACTTAAATTGCGCATGCCATTACGCGGCGATGCATCCAACACAATATCACCTTCGTAATAGCCAGCGGTCAGTTCAGGATCTTCTTCGCATGATGGGTCTACTGGTAGAGCTCGACTTGTACTAATCACAAAAAGCATCATCAAACTTAGACATGTCCTCATTTCAACTGATTAAAATTTCGAATTGTCGAACAAGTGTTCTCCGTATTCCAATGTACTAAACTAGCACTTCAACAAAACTGCTCGGGAATGAGTGCTTTTAGACTGCTTTATATGCACCATAAGCGTCATCTTTGGTTTAATATTAAAAGCACCTAAGTTAATTTTTCATTAAATCGTAACTTTTTACATAGATTGAGCTACTATTTTTCTTTTCTAAAATTTACCTACATCCTCATCATCTGATAACATTCGATACCAGTTATATTTTCTACTCTTCTATTTCAGTTCATTATATATTATTGTATTGAACTTATCATTAGAATCTTTTATTTTATACTATATATAGAATATTTCAAAAAATTGATATTGGACGTTTTTCTGAACAATCCGAGAAATATCAGCAAACAGCTGTGTAAATTAGATTAGGTGTCGAAAAAGATTTTCCATTAAAAGTTATTGCATATAATATTTTTCCAATTACTTATATGGACAAGTGTTGTTAATTTCAAGTCATAACGTAGATAAATAAGGGCAAGGTCTTAGCGGAACATTTTGTACTCTTGCACCTTGCAAGGATGAACGCTCGGGAAATTCATTCAGGCAGTGTAATCGAACATTTTATACTGTTGAACCTTCAACCGGGAAATTCATTCAGGTACTGGATAGATTTCATATTAAAACATGTTGCGAAAAAATTAAACATTAATTATTCAAATAAATCGTGAAAAAATTACAATCAAACTTGGTATCTTCGTCACTTATATTGAATGCCATTAACTTAGACTTAGTTTTGCTATAGTTCGCGTCAGCTAAAATTTAATTAAAAACATCTCAACTAATATATATGTATGTACGAGTATGTGATATCAACTCGACTCAACCAAACAGGCTAAAGTTAATTTATTGAGTTGATGTGTATTACACTATAATAAGGATATGAGGATATGATTCCATTCTAATTCAGCGCTAAGCCACATAATTTTTTAGAAAACTTGTACATTTAATTGCATTAAAATATTACATTATGACTAACCTGAATGGTTTAAAATCAGCAATAATCAATTCACCCCATTTTTACCATTTTAGCACATAAATACACAGTTATTAGTAAAATACGGTCTCTCATTTTCATTGAGATAACTCACACCGGAAGTTCGAAAATCTTTATATTAGCTATGTAGGGGCCACTTTTTAACACTCAGACATATGTACTATTATCAGGAAAGGATTCTCTGCGAATTCCAATTATATAACTCACACTTTGACGGATATTTTTGGCAAAAAGTCAACTATATGCACTGTGGTCCACATATTCGGTATTTAGGGGCTTGAACAGTTATGGTTTGATTTGGACTATTTTTGGTCATAAGGTGGCACATTTTAAAGGCTTTATTCGTTGTGTTCATTCGATTATCGATATTTTGTTTTTGTTATAATCGGACACATATGTTTATCAAGTGCTCACATTAGGAGCCATTTCGATTAGTAGCTTGTTTTTGACAACACGTTTTTGTGTGCTCTTGGATTTTTGACTTTTGAAAGAAATGAATCAAAAATATGTATTAAATTGTGCGTTAAAAATGGAATAAAATGCGCCAAGGCACTTGAAATGTTGACTACGACATTCGGTGAGTCCACTTTGTCTGAGAAAAGTGTTTATAAGTGGTATAAGCGCTTTACAGACGGCCGAGAATATGTTGATGACGATGAGCATCCTAAAGGTGCGACCACGTCAACAAGCGAAGAAAACATCGAAACAGTGAAAAAATCCTTCTTGAAGATCGCCCAATCACTATAAATGAAGTTGCAGAGGATGTTGGCATATCTTATAGCGTTCAATTTACACGAATTTTTTGGACATAAAACGTTTAGCAGCGAAGTTTGTTCCGAAATTGCTAAGCACGCATCAATGCTAACTCGTAATTTTTTGGCCAAAAGCATAACCGTGATCATGTCTCAACCACCGTATTCTTCAGATTAGGCTCCCTGCGACTTTTTTCTATTCCCAAAACTGAAGAAACCAATGAAAGGAAAGCGTTTTGCCACATTTAATGAGATCAAGTCTGAATCGAAGAAAGAGCTGTTGGCCATACCGAAAAACGCATTTCAGAAGTGCTTCGAGGATTGGAAAAAGCGTTGGCAGAAGTGTATTATATCCGAAGGGGGTTACTGTGAAGGGGATAGATATTGATGAATACATAAGTACTTTTCAAAAAAATTAAAAATTCACCTTTTCCTTTGAACACACCTCGGAATGTGAAAGAATCAGATGAAATTTAAAAGTTATATGGAAAATAGGCGTGGTTGTAATCCGATCTCTTCGATTTTTGCACTGTAATACCAAATATGGTGGTAATCGGTCGAGCAGTTCCCAAGATATGTAATTTCCCCTAAAAGTGGCGATGCCACGCCCATTGTTCAATTTTGATACCAGCTCCTATTAAGCCTTCTTGTGCTCTTCTGGATGCAAAGTTTATCGTTTCTGACGCCCTTAGTTTTTGTATTGTCTTGTTTTTAAATAGTTTTTTACAAAACCGTTATATGTCGAGTGGGCGGGGTTATCATTTGATTTCTCCTATTTCCACACTATCGTAATAAGGGTTGAAAAGATTTGTCATGTGAAAATTTAGATGGTATAGCTTTATTAGTTTAGAAGGTATATGCCTTAAACTTATTACGAGACGGGACCACGCCCACTTTTTAAAGATTTTCACACACACGTGTTCCTGTTTGATGGAATTCTTTGTGAAAAAATTTTAGTTCTGTATTTTAATTTTCGGCTTAGTTATGGCACTTTATACGTTTCCGATTTATGGCGTTTTCTTGGCGTGGCAGTAGTCCGATTACGCCCATCTACGAAATGATCCTTATAGTGTACTAAGTTTCATCAAGATATTTTAACTTTTAGTTCAGTTACAGCTTGCACAGACAGATACGTCTCGTTATCCTAATCATTTATATATATATATATATATATATCCCTGTATCAATCTCAAACATCCGTTAGGTGAACAAAACTATTATACTCTGTAGTAGCATGCAGCAAGAGTATAAAAGACGTTTTCTTAAACAAAAACCGTGTTCTTTGCAAAAGCAAAGTGACAGATATTGTTCCCGAGTTTTGCATCGAAGTATTAAAGATCGACTGTATTCAACTATAAATGCGCTAGAGACAAACTTCTGTGCGCCCAAGCTACACTCCTTAAGCGCTTCAGTGAAATTTAAGGATCCGTGACATAACCAACATTTTTTTTTTGTCAACCTGGGTGGTTTGTAGTCAGTTACGCCATAGAATCCAAAGTTGATGAAGTTTTTCTTTTTGATCGTAACAATAACCTTAGTCCAGATCGCCAAAGGATCAAACCATTACGGTAGAAATTGAGTAATTGCATACCCTAAACAGGGTATATTAAGTTTTCCACGAAGTTTGTAACATCCAAAAGAAACGTTTAAAACCCTATAAGATATATATTGTAAATAAATGATCGACATGACGAGCTGAGTCGATTAAGCCATACCATCTGTATGTACAATATATAAGCAAACTAGTAGTTCAGTTTTTGAGATATTGCTCTGAAATTTTGCACATATACATACCGTCCTTTTTCCCCAAAAAGCTAAGCTTATTTTATTATATACAAACTGAACGAGCATAAGCAAATTTTTATATGGAAAACTATTTTATTCGACGATATATCTTCACGAACTTTGGCCGAAGTTAACATCTTTTCTTGTTTAACTAACCAACGACACATTCACTTTAGTAAATATTAGTGTTTCACTAACGACTTCTGTTCCTTTTGCAAAAAATTCCGGTTTCTAAACTGTCCGGTTTCGTACATATCTATCGAAAACTTACATAATCGGTTTCGAGCACAACACACGTTGGATTCAATCCACTAAAATACTTGCTCTTTCAATATAGTTGACATCGAAAGGTTCGTGCCATGTTTTGGTCTTAGAAGTAATTTATGCAGGAGACGCGTTTAACATGATATTTTTTGTTGTAAAAATGTTATATATATATTTTATATTACTAATTCACAAATTCCAAACTTCACTCGATTGACGTTCGGTTCGTTATATTCTCTATCTAAAATAAAATTCGTTTACTCGTTATAGACTAGTTCAGGCATAACTTACTTTTGTTTTCGTAACGCAAATCAAATGTCTTAAAAACTTTAGTACAAATAAAAATTGTACAACAGTTGGCACCTTAGCTAACCCCTGCGTTCAACCACTTTAGGCCTTTAAAAAACATTACTACAAAATCAAGCTTATTCAAACCTTAATCAATAATAATTTTAACCACTTACATTTCCATAATTTTTGCTTGTTCTACTACAAGTGCTGAGCACTTGATTCTAGTGTCTGAATTCTTTCAGAAGGTTTAAATGCAACCATAAACTTTAAATATATATCCACAAAGCTAATTGTATAAGCTAATCTAATAAAACGAAGTTTCCCAAAGTTATATATAACTGTAGCTTGCCTTTCATTACAACATTTTCTACACTGTAGTTGCTACTTTTGATTTTACTTCTTCTTTAATATATGCATAGGACAACGATACATAGTATTCAATTTATTTATATCACTTTGACTTAAGCCACGACGCTGACCCATGACACCGGCTTCCTCCTCTCTCAAAGGCACTATCGTCATTTCACCATTGGCAGAGAACGCATACGCCGAATAATGCAACACGCTGCCGTAATCGTATTCCTCATCAAAATCATCTACAAAATCTTCGTTGTATTTATTAAAGTTCTGCTCGGTGCCGGCCCGAATGTTCTCCGTGGCTATGCGAACGTAGTCATCGCGATTCGCGGCACTCTGCATGTGATAGAAACCGAGTGTGTGCAAGAACTCGTGCACAATGGTGCCGAGGCGGAAGCAACCTGCATCCAAGGCGTTCATCTGCAGATTATATGAACGAACGCCGTTCTGCCAACCGACGCTTGAGTAGCAGCCACCACTTTCACCGGTAATGCGGACATAATTAGACTGGTCCTCGGTGGCCTCCTTGAAACGGATGCACGATACCTCCTCCAAGATCTTCATGCCGCGCAGTACATGATTCTTATGAGCGTTATCTTAGTGAAGAGTAAAGGAACATGGATATCTAGAGTATTTACAGATTTATCAGCCATAAAAATTAAATCATTCCTTACCGAAGTATCCCTCACTGAATTTGTAGTAGACAAGATTATTTGGCCAACGCCTAGTTTCACTGCGTAAGCCATTGCGTTCGTTTGGTTCCAAAACAATGTCACCTTCAAAGTAGCCAGCGGTCAACTCAGGATCTTCGTCAACTGATGGCCTTAATGGCACAGCCAAGGAAGCGCCGAGGGCCGACAACAACACAAAGCCCATAAATAACTTCATTGTTCTTCAAAAGACTTTATTTATTCAAAAGAAAAAACTGCAATCTGCACACACGCCTCGTAAGCAGTCCAGACTACAACTAAATGATCATTTGGTAGTTTCCTCTGGTCAAAACTGCTTTATGGCATCATAAACGTGTTTTCTATGAGTGCATAGTATATTGTGGTCAGCTTATCACTTTGGATGTTTGAATTTCGCACAAATTCAATGTTAATTTTTAATCCAAGAATATTTATTACCTTTATCGATCAGTATCGTTATCGTGCTGTACGTTCCACTGGCTACTTGGATTTTCCACATAGTATGCCATGTACACACAATATATTATATATAGTGCGTCATATACATACGATATATAGTAATATACAGTAATTCCTCGTGTAATATAATATAATGGTGAATAAAATTGTTGTATATTATAATTAATATTTACCAATAACAGTAGTAATTATCTGACAAGCGAAAGGTGAATCTACGATCAGCAAGCTTTAGAGATATCATCCAGGGAGCAAAGAGAAATGTTGATTTATGTTACAACTTTCCCAAGATGACAATATTAGGTTTAGTCTTAAACTCTTGCAATAACAAAAACTACTTTTGATGCATTTGCAACGAATTTTACATAAAACTAGCATTTAGGAGACAGCCTTTTGCTGATCTTACAGGTCAAATTATAAAGTCTGTTTAAATTTAAAACTTATTTGATAATATAGATCATATAGGTTATTTACAATCGCGTAGTAAGCGTTTATCCACTATTGCCCAATTCTTTAGGTTATGTGGGACTTGCATGAACTGTCTTCTTGTATATATAGCACTACCAGAAATTTATTTTTATGCTCCGAAGTCACTTAATAGTTCTTCTCTTTATTTTTTTGTATATTCTTTTATTATCGAGCATATATGTAGGGTGTTTTTATATTTTGTATAGATATAATAGGTCAAAGCTTCATTGACTATTTATACTATGCTCTGCGGAAGTAGTATTTAACTTTCGGAAATATGAAAATAGCTCAAGAACCTTTTGTAAAAGGACTGTTGCGTTTCGATTTCAAATCTCTTTTTTTCTAACAGAGTTACACCAAAAGTTCTTACAGTGTTTTTCGAATTAATGCCGCTCACCGAAACAATAAAGCATTGTGCCGCTTGATACTTCTATGACTTGACAAAGTAAACTCCTTAAAGCATTTTTGCAAGATTTTCAATAACTCCGTAGTTTGCGATAATCAAAATTTTAAGTAAGGTTTTCCATAGCAAAATTATCTACTTTATCATAACCAAATGTTTGAAAAAATGTATTATTCATTGTGATATTCCGCTCAGTATTCACAAGCACCAAGCTCAGTTGAACGACTACTCTTAATAAAAACGAGAGCATAGTTTTAGTTTCTACATAAGTAAAGTTTTCTATAACAGTGATATCTGCAGAAGCCGAGTGCCTGTATAGCTCTTTGAGTTGTGGAATCAAAGCAAGCATCTCCAATTAAAGAATATATTATATCTAATTGCCGAAACGTAAAGTGCTCCGTCAAGCAACTAAATATTAAGTCAATAATATAAATATGAAATAATATAAATACAAATCTAAATTTGATAAGTTTTCGTTCCGTTCTTCAGAACTAAGACCCGTATGGTATCTATCACTGCCCGAAATAAAAAAGAGTTTCTAAATAAACATTAAATGTAACAATCTATTAAGAGCAAGTTATATCATTAAATCATGAACCATATATTATATATAGACGGAGTTCGTTGATCACAAACCACTCGACAAATCCCTTGAAATTTTATATGCAGGTCCTTTCGATCTGCTCTAAACGTGTTAAAAAAATTAAATCTTGGAAATTAAAATTTTTAATACAATTAAATCGACATGCTTTAAGAAATATAATCGAATAAAATTGATGGCATTATATTATCGAGCCTTAAAACAGCGAAGAGCGAGCTCAAAATATAATTCATTTTACAAAGAAGTTTCAAAGAAACGATTTATTTTTCGAAAGTATCAGATAACTAACAGATAACATTATAATAACTAGTTCAGTGGAAAACACAATTTCACTACTTTTCCTACCTACGGGTTTCGGCAGCACGTTGCCAAGAAGTAATAAATTATATTATCGCATTAATTAAACAGCTATAACTAACTGTATACTTGAGAATACTGATAATTCTAATGTTAATATTATTTATAGACTCATTAAATGTTTCTACCGAAACTAAAAAATAATTTCAATTCGTATTTGATTGCAGAGAAAAACGTACACAAGCAGGCGATAATGAAGCTCTACGTCGGAATTTTGCTGCTGGCACTTACTAGAAGTACGCTAACTGCTCCACTAAACCAGCCTGACTTTGATAATGCTGAGCTTATTGCTGGGTACTTCCAGGGCGATATTGTCTTGTCACCTTCGCAGCGCAATGGATACCGCAATGAGATGTTACGCTGGCCCAACAACACTGTCTACTACAAAATCAATGATGGATATTTCGGTAATAGATTATAACATTGGACAAGTTGATATCGTGAAAATAAATGTTGTTCCATAGACGAGGCGCATCGCAATCATATTTTACGTGGTATTAAAATCATAGAAGAGCTCTCGTGCATTCGCTTTCAGGAAGCAACCGCAGATCAAAAATATTATGTGAATATCACCGGAGAAAATGGCGGCTGTTATTCGAGCATTGGCTGGTTGAATGGCGTTCAGTTTTACAATCTTCAGCTTTTTCCTCTGGATACAGGCTGCTTCCGACTCGGTACAATTGTGCATGAGTTCCTACACACGCTCGGATTCTTTCACATGCAGAGTGCCGCGAATCGCGATGAATACGTACGCATCGAATTTGACAATATTGAGAAGGGTATGGAGTTTAATTTCGATAAATATGACGAGGATTACATCGATGATTATGATGAGGAATACGATTACGGTAGTATATTACACTATCATGCCTATTCATTCTCAGTGAATGGCGAAAGGACAATTATACCGTTAAAGGAGGAAGGTGAGATTATTGGTCAACGACGCGGCATGAGTAAAAGTGATATCAATAAATTGAATACGATGTATCGTTGTCCAGTAACAGTTTGATTGTACTAATCTTAAAATGTGCCCTGAATTTAAATCAGCGAAATATTTGTTAATAAATGTTAAATGATAAGTTTTTCTTCTTCAGCGACTCTAACTGTACAAGATCACCTTGGTTACAGCTGATCTATATATCGGTCTCTCATCGATGAACACCATCAACAGTTCGATTTATATATAAAGGAATAATTAATATAATATTATATGCAACTATTTCGAACAATATTTTGCACTTAAAGCGGTTAAGTAGAACTAGAGAAATTACAAAAAAAAAAAACAAGTAAGGAACCGAACATTTTATACTTTTGCAACTTGCAAGAATCAAAGCCGGTAATTTCCTTCAGTTGCTGGCAAAACTTTATATTAAAAAAAGGTTGCGAAAGAATTAAATATCCATTGTTCGATGAAATCTAAACTAAGACTAAATAACAATCAAATTTGGTATCTTCTTGACTTATATTGAAGGTTGAAGGTCTTAGACTCAGTTTTACTAAAATTAAATTAAAAACACCTTCAACTGCGACACATATATGTAGTGATAATAACTCGAACGAAGATGCTAAATTAAATATAATGATTATATAATATATTGATTGAGTTTATTGAAAAACGTCAACCAGTGGATCGTAATTTATTATATTAAAAATATTACGGATAGGAGGCTTAGACCAAGGTATAGACCATTCTAATTCAGCGCTAAACCACATAGTTTTTAAGAAAACTTGTTCATTTCATTTTATTAAAATATCACGAATTTTGACCAACCTAAACGGTTAAAAGACAGGTGAAAAGACAAAGATCATTTTATGGGGTATATTGGGGTAAAGTATACTCGAGAACATATTTTGAAGCAATTCTACATATAAGTAATACTCACTGAAAGACATATCCAGCATAAAACCTGTAAGAATCACGAAAATCATTATAAGTAGTATATGGGAGTTGGGGTCATATACCATCACGAATCTATATGGAGTCAGCTGGATGTTCAAAATTCTGGTATTAGTTATATAGGGGCTAAGTCAAGTTTTCACCCGATTTTTTCCATTTTAGGCACAAAGATATATACCGTTATTAGTAAAATACGAGTAAAATACGGTCTCTCATTTTCATTGAGATAATTAACATATTGGCCGATAGATGCGGTATAAAGTCAACTACAACCTGTTTTCCTATTGTAAGATGGGTTCGTTAAAATAATATTATATACCAAATTTTGTTGAAATCGATCAACGGCTCCTTTGAAACTTCCTTGTGCCTTGCCGGATGTATAATTTAAAATACCTGATATATTTAGTTATTGATTTACTGCACTTTTGGTAGTTTAGTAAAAAATATTTATTCTGGGCCAATTTGCATCATATAGATTGAACGGTTTAGCAGATATACTTATATATTGAACTTATTAGAAGGCGAGCCACGCCCATTTTGAAAAAAATGTCAACCATAATGTTTAATTATGGCGTTGTGTGGGCGTGACAATGTTCCAATTACGTTCATCTTCAATACTAAACCAAATACCAATACTTCTTATAGTAACAAGGAACATGTGTAAAAAGTTTCATCAAGATATTCATTAGTAATGACCAGCTACCACAAGAAAATTCTGACGTTATTAAACAATATCTTGTAGATAATGCCAGAATAATCTTATTTGTGCTACACCACAGAAAGCTTCATCCAAATAAAATTCTTAGTGTGGCAACACTGCTTACCGATAATCAATGCTGAATGTGTAATACGATTTTATATTTTGGAATTAGAGAACAAAAACAAATATTAATCATCGAAAATCGCGTGTTTTTTAAAATATCTTCCATTACAATATATATACTTTTGCATGCGTTTGAACCAATTCTCGAAGCACCTTCGCCCTCTGATTCAGGTATCTCCAAAATATGCTTTAGCAATGTCGATCTCTTAGTTTATTTTTGAGGAGAAAGGCATTCGGTGCCAAGTCAGGAATATACTATAGTACTCCAACATGCAGTTGTTTCAATCGAAGTGTGAGAGCTCGCATTGTCGTGGAGTAGAGTGATCCGTCTAATCCGACGGTTGGTTTACCTGATTTCTTGAAAGACAACTGGTAAACATATGAGTGTGTATAGTATAGGTGCGACATGTCCACTTTTTCCAAAAAAACAGGAAGCCATTTGCTTGAAAGTGCTTTGTGCGCTAACAACTTAGCGCTAGATCTGCAAACATTCATGCAGTTGACTGCTGTTTACATCCGGGGTCATACGCGTAAATCCACGATTCATCACCTTTTACGACGTCATAGACGTGTTTCGAATCACTGCTGTCTTATTTTTTTAACACATCTCTGGACCAATCGACGCGAACCTTTTTTTGAGCGATTGACACATTTTTTTACATTCAAATATTCTACTAATGCCTATAATTGTCTCGATCTCACTATAGTTCACATGACGTTCTTGTAATTTCAGTTTGCCAGCTTTGCCCAGCATCAATAGTTTCCGGCACAACAACTGATTTTGGATGACCTTCACAAAACTCGTCTTGGAGTGATCTACGAAGTCGATTGAATTCACTTCATCATCGAAAAAGACTGGTCCTTGATGGAGCTTCGTAGCCAAAAATTTAATTAAGTTCAACGATGCTCTGTTGCTGAGTTAATTCACGACGAAAGTTGTAACAAATAATCACCCGAAAATGTTCAATATTTAATTTTAGTTTTCGGCCGATATGAATATTTTAAATAACTGTAAACGTTCTGAGTATGTACAACATCAAGAATGTCAAACTTTACGATAAAGTTGTGAGTTGTCAGATTGTAACACTAGGGCTGCCAAATCCCGAAATACAAATATAGAAAACAAGCTACATACTATCCTACTACTACTACTAAAGATCACATATCAAATAAGAAGCTTATTTAACTATCAAGATATTACTACACATATTAATTTTTACAATTCTTAGTTGGGTCTAGCCTTGAATATTGTAGTTCTAGAAGCATTACCATTAATGTCTGAAGAACATCCAGTGAGACCGCAATGTTATTGTTGCAAGTTAGTATTGTTTCTATCACAGTCATCCAGTCATCCAAAGTTTTTGTTCATAGGAATTTAAAAATCCATTGCGCTAACAGTACATAACTCATATATCATTGTATTGCCAATTGAAAATTAGTTGATTGGTAGGGTCCACTGTCTATATGGATGTGAAAATTCACCAACTCCTTATCTAAGTCACCGAAGCTCATTACTCTCAAACGCACAAATACATAAGTATAATACTTCAAATCTTTGTGCATTTAATAAACGACTTTTAAATAAAATATAGATATATCTAAAATTTGTTGATTTATACCTCTTATTACTTGTAACATTCACATTGCATACGATTTCGTTTTACTTTTTTTCGCTTTGGTGGCAAAAAATATTAATTTCGGCAATATTCGCAAAAATGATTGTCATAAAGAAGCGGCGGCATTCAATGGAAATTTCAGACATTCATCATCGTTAGTGAAAGGCCATTCATTGGCCACAAACCGAGCAGAGAAAAGTAAACAAATATAAAATGTATGTATGTAACAAATACATATGTATACACCCTCCACATACAGATATACTCCGCACAGCAAACACGAACGGTTAATTTTGATTGACGGCCTACGGCTGACGAAGGAAAAAGCCCGAAGCTGCGTACGAGTTTGAAGAATATATTTTCATGCATACGCATACCAATACATGCATTAAATATAATATATGCCGTTATTTCTCACACTTGGCGAGACACGAACTTTCTTTATTTTGTCCCATTTATACATATATTGATATCATAAATTTATTCTAGCAAATGGCCTTAACAGTTTATGCTTATACAAATCTTTATATTTATACACAGCATAAAAACACATATACATATAATACACACCTACCAGCTTACAGGTATATGAGTTTGTATGTGTTCTAATGTAGTGGGGTTTGCTTTTTGATTGCAGCCTTCGCTTCATATTTGTGTGATTAATTCAGTTGCATTAATTTTATTGCGAATTGATTGCTTCTGTTCAAATTGCAATCAATCATATGTGTCTACACTTGTGTCTACGGCGACGCTTCACAGACTCTTTCACCTCTGCCACGAAGCATCTTGAAGCTGCTTGAAATGTTTGTCGCAATGATAATAACCCACATGCCACTATTGTTTACAATTCATCAAAATGTAACAGTATATTTGTACTTGTAGGTATTCGTACGCTCACAAGTAGGTGGCTCGGTATGAAATTTCTTCGCTATGCAATTTATCTTTATTGCAAAGATTACCTTTTCTGTATTATGGATATTATGGATAGTTAAGCCAAGCGAATAAGTCCAGTTACGATTTCGAACAGTATCGTCTGTTCACATCATTGTGACATAAGGTAAGGAAATTAGTGCTGGTTGAACTGGTTTAAGAAGAAATAAATTATAAGAACACAAGGTTGCCACCTGTTTGAAATTTTTTTATTCAAAAAAATATATAAGATATAGATTTGAAAAAGTTTATGGTTGACATATTTTAAAAGCTTTAATTCAAACTAATTTGAAAAATAAGTTCATTATTTTGATACTGGTACCAAATGAACTGCATTTGAGAAATATTTGATGAAGATATATACATTTTTTGTTTGGTATTCAGTGTTATTTAGAATCTGTCTTATTAAAAAATCGACAATAAGTAAATTTATGGACAAAAATAATGAGCTTGAAATACAATAAAAAATATTTTGTATAAATGAAATGAGTGGGGAAATCAAATTAATCGAATGAGGGGTCTTATGTGTGTTATCATTAGTCTTCTACATTTTGGACTATTATCCAGCTGGTGGATCATAGGAACGTCATCATGGATCTCCAATCGAGAGTGGTAACGACAACCAAATTCTTCTATAGTTTCTTTTACAGTGCGCATTTTAGGTCTCGATGAGGACGTCTTTTCTAGCACAAAAAGGTGCACCCACTATAGACCGAAGAAATTTATTTTGAATGCTTTGAACAACTTTCAAATTTAAATAAGCTGATCTGCACCAAATTTATATTTCAAGCAGTTTTTCCTTTAACTTGTATAATAGGCCTAGTTGCCAGACCTTGGTCATATGCTTGACGGACATGAAGAAAAACTGCAAAACAATATTTACAAATTTCCATACCATCAACCGTACAAAACTATACCGCTTACCAAATAATAAATTTTTACGCAAATAACACCAGACAAAAGTAACGGTACCTACTTGATAACTGCATTAAAGGTGGTGCCAACGTAAGTGTTTATTAATAAATAGCCAAAATATATTCTCAAAACATTAATATATTCATTCCACCAAAAGTTTTTCAATATAAACTAATAAATGAAGTCTATTTCGCGAATTAACAAAAGTGTTTACGTTTTTGTTTACAATTTACATGCTGTTCTATGCTTCTTCTTCTCAAAAAAGAATTATGTCGCAAGATGACAGTTGGTGTAATCTTGTATTCTATCATTCTTGGGTATAATAATTGTCGCAAGTCTGTCTGAGACACAAGTATACTCAAAGCTCGCGTTATTACTCATTCGTGCAGTAAATTGCTTTAAAA